TGCACCACTGCTTTTCCTTATTCTCATATCAGATATAGACAAAAATACAAGTCACAGCTTCGTATCATCCTTTGCAGATGACACAAAAATCAGTATGAAAATTACCTCGGCTGAGGACATTGAAAAACTTCAAGCTGATATTAATAAAGTTTTCGACTGGGCATCAGAAAATAACATGATGTTTAACAGTAATAAATTCCAGGTACTCAGGTACGGTAAAAATGAGGACCTTAAACATAATACAGAGTATAAAACACAATCAAATGTACCCATAGTAGGAAAACAGCATGTAAAGGATTTGGGAATAATAATGTCTGACGACCTAACGTTTAAGGAGCATAACCAAGCAAATATTGCGACAGCCAGAAAAATGATAGGATGGATTACGAGAACTTTCAAATCCAGGGATCCCATCACAATGGTTGTACTCTTCAAGGCACTTGTGTTGTCCCGTCTTGAGTACTGCTCAGTACTCACTTCCCCCTTCAAAGCAGGAGAGATTGCTGAAATAGAGGGAATACAGAGAACATATACGGCACGCATAGACGCAATAAAGCACCTAAATTATTGGGATCGTCTCAAAGCCCTCCAAATGTACTCACTAGAAAGAAGACGAGAGAGATATCAAATAATATACACCTGGAAGATACTGGAGGGCCAAGTACCAAATCTACACAGTAAAATAACAACGTACTGGAGTGAACGACATGGAAGAAAATGTAGAATAGAACCAATGAAGAGCAGAGGTGCCATAGGCACAATCAGAGAACACTGTATAAACATCAGAGGTCCGCGGTTGTTCAACGTCCTCCCAGCAAGCATAAGAAATATTGCCGGAACAACCGTGGACATTTTCAAGAGGAAACTAGATTTATTCCTCCAAGGAGTGCCGGACCAACCGGGCTGTGGTGGGTATGTGGGCCTGCGGGCCGCTCCAAGCAACAGCCTGGTGGACCAAACTCTCACAAGTCGAGCCTGGCCTCGGGCCGGGCTTGGGGAGTAGACGAACTCCCAGAATCCCATCAACCAGGTAACCAGGAGCAGCACCTGTCAGTGGCTTGACAGGTGGCTGTCTTCCGTAACGAAGACGGGCTGTCTGAGGCTTGACAAGGACGATCAGGGTGTGGTCACTGATTAAACAGTAAGATGGGATGAAGGGGGAGGGGAGGACGAGGAAGGGAAGGGAGGGGAAAGTGGAGATTGTGGGAGGGGAAAGTAGAAGACGGAAAGGGTAGGACGTAAAAACAAACAAAATCCTTACGCGTGTCTCTCTCTCTCTCTCTCTCTCTCTCTCTCTCTCTCTCTCTCTCTCTCTCTCTCTCTCTCTCTCTCTCTCTCTCTCTCTCTCTCTCTCTCTCTCTCTCTCTCTCTCTCTCTCTCTCTCTCTCTCCGTCTCGTTCCTCGTCTTATTCATCACTCTTTTCCGTCAGCATATATGACAAGCGCTCGACGGAGCGAAAGCTTTCAGGGAGGTACTTCAATATGGCGGCTCCTCTACACCGTCGCCTGTTCGGTGCCACCATGTTGGGTCGCCGCTCCGTGAGACGATGTCCACACAAGGGTGTTATCTAACATGATATTGCAGGTAGGACAGCACAAGCTAAATGTTAAATGCACGACTGTTAAGAAGTGTGACCTATTTAGACCAGGACCACATGTCCGGACAGCATAAAATGTCCAGCAGAGAGAGAGGCTTGGAGGGTTAATGACGCAGGAACTCCCGGAATTGGTCCAAGAGAGTGTTGTGTCTTACGGCCTGGGGCTGCAGGTAATGAATCACCCGACACTGAAATGTAAGCTGCGTGAACAAGAGCTACTACAACACACTCCTTAACGCAGTATAAATGAATATCCAGTTATCAATTATTTTAGACCAAGTGGTATGAAATAATTAGAGTTCTGTATCTGTTTTTCAGAGAGAGAGAGAGAGAGAGAGAGAGAGAGAGAGAGAGAGAGAGAGAGAGAGAGAGAGAGAGAGAGAGAGAGAGAGAGAGAGAGAGAGAGAGAGAGAGAGAGAGAGAGAGAGAGAGAGACAGTGAGAGGAGACAGATAAAAAAAGAGACATGCTAGCACAGAAGGAGAGCATCTTCCCATGTAGGGTCGAGGTGTTTATTATTGAGCCTCGCGGTGCTCGCTACACGCACTGGCCTGGTGTAGACTCCCTAGTCTACACTTGTCAAGACACCATAGTCTACACTTGTCAAGACACCATAGTCTACACTTCAGCATTCATCTCCCCGCCTCAGAAACCTGTGTACTCAGCCTCACCACCAATGCTCTAAGACGTGTATATAAGCATTATCTAAAATTGAGATCTTAACCTAAGCTTCGGTCGTAATGGTTGCTAAGCTTAACTGCGTTTTACTTGCTTAACTGGGTGCATGTATCCAGACTGAGTGCATTTATCGTGATGCAAGCATGTAGCATGATGCACGCATGTATCAATGTCTGGGCCAATGTATCACGACAGGGAGCATGTATCCAGGGATATACCAGCTGGCCTTCCGTTGCTCTGTGTATAAATGTTCTGTATATAGTCATGTTAAGTATATAAATGTCTAACAGAATTGCTTGGCTCTACAGTATCAATGATACAATTTGACACAAGCATTCTAACACAAACACACGCACAAGGCGCTGGTGGCTGAGTGGACAGCACGCTGTATACGTAGTCTTGTGGTCCGGGGTTCGGTTCCCGGCGCCGACGGAAACAAAAATGGGTAGAGATTCTTCCACCATAATGCCCCTGTTATCTAGCAGTAAATAGGTACCTGGGAGTTGACAGCTGTTAGGGGCTGCTTCCTGGGTGTGTGTGTGTGTGTATGTGTGCGCTCAAAAAATGAATTAATAGAAATTAATAACAGTTGATTGATTGACAGTTGAGAGGCGGGCCGAAAGAGCAGAGCTCAACCCCCGCAAGCACAACTAGGTGAACACAACTACGTGAATAAAATTAGGTGAATACAACTAGGTGAATACAGGGGGTACATCTGATAAGAACATATATGTTTCCACCGATTTTGCTACAATATATTATATAAACTTAATACGATCACTACGAGGCCAGCAATCTACTAGGACACAGTACTACCTATTTCCTATGATCATTATCAAGAGCCCATATTGCGTATTATTACAAATACTCAAGATATTACGTAATATTATCAAGTCGTATTTTCCCATACTGTGTTGTCTGAAACATTTATCTAAAAGATATCTATTTTTTTAGAGTGATAGTCGCTCTGAGGGCGGGTAGTAGCCGCTACTGAAGGAGGCGCTGGGAACAATTCAAGAGAAGAAGCAACAGACGCTGAGAGGAGGGCCTTGGTTATCTCATAGTTATCCCCTGGGAGGCGGCAAGACACTCTTCTGATATATTTTTGCAGCTTGGGCGAGGCTAGCGAGCGTAATGGGAGTAGGTGTTGATTGTGTGTGAGGCTATACACACCCTGCTTTACATCCGGGATCGATTAGGGTTTGTTTAGCGTGAGCACTTTGCTAGGATGCGGACCTTAGAGTAAGTGTGCGAATTTATATAATTTCATAATATCATTATTTTTATATATAATATATATATATATATATATATATATATATATATATATATATATATATATATATATATATATGTATGTACATATATATATGTACATATTATATATATATATATATATATATATATATATATATATATATATATATATATATATATATATATATATATATATATATGATATTTGCAACCTAAATGTGGCCTGTAAATAACACACTACTGAATTAAAATACAATAAATTAAAGGAAAAGTAATAATGGATTTTAGTACTTTCAAAAGTAATTTGAACTTCAAGTGGGCCGCTTGTATAAACATATTGATTTCCACAGAAGAGGCGTGTCTGTCCGTGATTAGAATAGCTATGGAGCTCTTGAAGCGATATCCTTGAAGGCTTGCATTTAAATATACCCCTCATCTTGAGAATAGATCCTTAAACTCCGTAAAGCATAATGCCTCACCAGCAGTACCGGTTGGGTTCGAACGGGTGAGAATAAGGTCTCTTAGGCAACACTCCTTCGCTGTTCGCCTCCTGTTCACCCGGCAGTAATTGGCGATCTAGTTATAAACCGACTGGCGGATCGTGATCCAGGGGGAAAAATGAGAAGGCTAAGACTGAAGATGAATAGTTGGAAGAGATAATATCTCTCTCAGCCTGCTAACAAGACTCAAAAGTCATTAGCTCCTGTACAGGCATGTGTAAAAAGAAAAAGAAAAGCTCCTATAAACACTGGCTCGTGAATTCAGAAAACGAGAAGCACGCAGAAAAAGGTTTTCTAGATGTTTGCTCAGGCAGTGAGGAGAGTTCACCCTCAAGGGCGCTTCATCTCTATTCTCAGGAGACCAGAATGTCGCTCTTATCATTCTCAACATCTGACTGATAGAACTTCACCAACAAGAGCTCCTTTCACCATCAAGCCTACAGTAACACCCGTTCAATCGTATAATACATCATATTTTAATGTAAAAATCCCCAACGTCCAAATATGATATACCATAAATCAGAGCGGTTCGCTGAATTGACGGCTGTCAAGTTTTCTATTGGTGGGTCCTTTGTTAGGTTTATATATATATATATATATATATATATATATATATATATATATATATATATATATATATATATATATATATATGTACCTAACGGGTTTCCCATTTATATTCACAATCCCATACATTACATTCAGTGACGTCCTCCGTTACTTCTGACCCGTGTTGAGAGGTAACGGAAGCCGTAGTCACCCTGCCATAGTTGACGGGTCGTGGTGACCCGCCAGCGGGTGACAGGCCTTCACCCCGCCACCACACCAAACATTCTTGTGTCCAAACTATCACAAACTATCACAGAACAAACAACAAATATCACCAATATGATGTGACGTTGTTTTGTGGCCAAGATGGTGTGGCCGCCCTGCCCGGCCACGCTGGGCCGGGCAGGGCGGAGCAGCCAGCTCAGTGGCAGTTTGGCAGTGGCTGTAAGAGGGTTGGGTTTTGGCTGCTCCACTACGGTGAGTGTCGAGGGACGGGAAGTGTCAGCCTCAAGGCACAGTTAAATACCAGTTAGTGTTCCTCCAGCATCTTCCCACTCGAGGAATTGCCTGCCTGCTAGATCCCCAAAAGAGACTGTAGAACGCTGAGTAGCTGTGAGAATTACCAGTGAGGTGAGTACCACCTACGGTATTATTACAGACGAACCGTGTACAGTGGATGCGAGGCGGCGAGGGCGAGGGCTGTGTGGTGCTTAGTGGAAGGGCGGCGTGGAGGGCAACAATTGCAAGTGGATGTGCCGGTGGCAGTGTCCGGGGGGTATGGACCCGGGAGCCAGCCAGAGGAATGTTTGCCACACTCAAAATAAGAGCGGGTCCTGCCTGCCTTGGTGGCCGCGGCGCTGCTGCTCTTCCTGCCCCTGCCACAGCCACACACTTCCGTAAACACCCAGCAGTCGTGCTCCTGCTGCTGCTGACTGTGTTGCCGGGTTCTCCTGCTGCCTGTGTTGCCGGACTCTCCTGCTGGCTATGTTGTTGACTCTCCTGATGGGAGTGTTGTCGTTGACTTTCCTGCTGGCTATGTTGCCGACTGTCCTGCTGGCTATGTTGTCGACTTTCCTGCTGGCTATGTTGTCGACTCTCCTGCTGGCTATGTTGTCGACTTTCCTGCTGGCTATGTTGTCGACTTTCCTGCTGGCTATGTTGTCGACTCTCCTGCTGGCTATGTTGTCGACTCTCCTGCTGGCTATGTTGTCGACTCTCCTGCTGGCTATGTTGTCGACTCTCCTGCTGGCTATGTTGTCGACTCTCCTGCTGGCTATGTTGTCGACTCTCCTGCTGGGTGTGTTGTCAACTCTCCTGCTGGCTATGTTGTCAACTCTCCTGCTGGGTGTGTTGTCGTTGACTTTCCTACTAGCTATGTTGTTGACTCTCCTGCTGGGAGTGTTGTCGTTGACTTTCCTACTAGCTATGTTGTTGACTCTCCTGCTGGGAGTGTTGTCGTTGACTTTCCTACTAGCTATGTTGTTGACTCTCCTGCTGGGAGTGTTGTCGTTGACTTTCCTACTAGCTATGTTGTTGACTCTCCTGCTGGGAGTGTTGTCGTTGACTTTCCTGCTGGCTATGTTGTTGACTCTCCTGCTGATTGTTTTGTCTGACTCTCCTGCTGATTGTTTTGTCAGACTCTCCTGCTTGAGCAGTTACACAAACATGCACAAGTCGTGTTCCTGATTCTTTTCACACCAGCAGACAAGACCAGACACGAAAAGAATTCAGACGCCAGGAAAGTCACACTATAGAGTACAACGAGGCTTGTAGGTGAGGCGTAAAGTGCCACACCCTCCTCCGTCAGTTAGGAACACACCTGCTGCTGATGGTCTCCCTCTCTGAGTGTGTGTCTCTGCTTCGTGTGGAGGCCGTATATCGCCTATGTCACTACTGACGGTGCAACACCCATTGCCGCCTGTGGCCCCTCCTGCCGGTGGTGCTGCCTGGCATTTCCTTCGCCTCACCGCTGACCTTCCTTGGCACACCGTGGCATTGTTTGTCCAAGATCAAGGCGACTGTTGCTGCTGCTGCTGTTGTTGTTGCTGCTGGTGGAGGCGACCGACGACTTTAGACCCTATATGCTTCAACTGGCTTTCGAGCCAGAGGCCTGCCTCCCTCCCCCCCGTCTCACAGTCGTATAGAGTTACCTCACGAACACAGTACAGCTCCTATACCTATTTCTACACTCTTACCTATCACTCTTGTTTTCACTGGTAGCGAGGAATTTCCCCCTGACCAGGGAGGAAATAGCATTTGAAGCCTAGAACAGAAGAACAATGGGCATAAGAATAAAAAGCCACTGTTAAAAAGAACAGTGAAAGCATCAGCACAGGGATGTCAGTAATAAGAACATAGGCATATTGTTAAAAAGAACACGAGAATATCGGTAATAGGGAAAGACACGCACCTGGACGGGGGATCTTCCACAACTAATCCTGATTGGTTGTGTTGCTGCTAACACGTCTGTCTAAAACAACAGATGACCTCTCAAATGACCAGCTGCTCACTGCTTTTAACTCCTTATAGCAGCAAGATCCCCACCACCACAAACACAGCCACCTCCACTACCACCAGTTCAACCAACAATTACCACCAACGCTAGGCTACTGCTGTTCACAGCACTACAGTCGCCACCTCGGCAACAAGGTCACCACAGCCAAAAGGTCACCATAATAAGAAACAAGGTTGCCACTATAGAATAGGTCACTACTACTAGGTGACCACATTAGTGTAACGATAATAATAATTATTATTATTAAACAATACAAATTATTATTAAATATCATTTATTTTAAATATTTTGTTTTACTTAAAAAACTTTTTATAATACAAAAAAGCGGTCATTTAATGAAGCGAGTTAGAAAGATGTAAACAGCGCCAAGAGCTATCATAATAGTTTACCATATTACCGTTTAACACTTTTTTTCTCTCTCAGTTTGCGGAGCCTAATGGGAAGATCATTTAACAACGTTATCAGTATCAATAACGCACAAACATAAACAAAACTATGTTAATATTTTCGTCCCTTGGATACCTAACTTTATAACAATATTTCTTCAGTGTGAATTTCTCTCACCCCGTCATATGTCTTCATGAGCTCCTGCGTACAATGTTTACATGTGAATGAAAGAAATTACTGTTATAACGGGAGATATTCGCTAAGTCAGCAGTAATGTAGCATTCAAGAATCCGTTGCTTATATTTGTGTTCACGGAAAAACTGTAAATTAGGGCACTGACAAATTGTTTATACAGATAGTAAACAGTTTCTTTTCCTGTTTTCATCAATACAAGTGGGTTTATTTTTGGAAGGGAGTAACGGTAAATATTTTCTCAGTTATGTGTAGAGCTGCGGTGGCTGTAGTACCGATTAGGGAGTCCAAACAATGGACGAATTCGTGGTTCGAATCTCCTTCCTCAGAACGAATCAAATTCCACAAAACAAAATCTCCTAGATTCAAATTAGTTTTTGGAACGTAGCAAAACAGGTACTTTAATATCCAATTCGTTTGACATTCTAAAATCATGAATTGGTTGACACGTAAATTTCCCGCTCTACACTAAGAGCGTCCATCTCTGCTTTTTCCGTCTATTTTGTTAACTACCGAAGAGACGTGAAAAACGATTAACCTCACGTTTTGGTAGTTTAGGGATGTCGTTGGTTTCATAGAGAATGCCAAGACCTCGACAGAGCCAAGTTGGCACTAATTCTCCAGCTTATCTATTCCTTTATCTAAGTGCCTTTCTCTTTTTATTTTTCTCTCCTCATGTGTGTTTACCTATATGTGCCTGCAGGATCGAGCGTCTAACTTTTGGACCCCGCCTTTCCAATCACCAGTAGTCTAATAAAATGGCTCCTATCTTATATTCTCTATCATATCCATTAAGCTAGCTACCGCCCAGCCCTAGCATGCAACCCACAACAGGTGTAAACTCCCTGGTACCTAAGTACTGTTAGGTGAATAGAAGTATATCAGGAGAAAGGAAACGTTGCCAAAACGTTTCTGTCTTGTCGGGGGGATCGAACCGGCACTCCTCGGTTGTAAGCCGACGACTTAGTCCACTGTACCACAGAACCATGTGTGTGTGTGTGTGTGTGTGTGTGTGTGTGTGTGTGTGTGTGTGTGTGTGCGTGCGTGCGTGCGTGCGTGCGTGCGTGCGTGTGTGTGTGTGTGTGTGTGTGTGTATACACCTAGATGTGTATTTGTGGGAACGTTCTCAGCCCACAGCCCCCCATCTTCCGAAAATCCGAATAATCTTAGTTTAATACAATGCCTCTGTTCTCACAATTCTCGTATCATATTTGAATTTAAAATAATGTATCGAGTTACACAATAGTTGTATCGAGTGTAGTGAATAAATAGTGTATCTTCATCTATCCAATTCCACGTAATGATCGGCTCTAACATCTCTGTGTATTGTGTGTCAAGTTTCCTGTTATGCCACACCGTGTTGTCCTTAGCTTTGAACGATGCTTATTTCTCTGTTTTGTAAACTTTAAATAAAATTGTATATGTCGTTATCATGTCACCTAAATCCTCCTTTTCTCTAGTTTAATGAGGTACAGTTCTCTCGGTCGTTCCTCATAGCTCAGGCCTCTTCAAGAACGAGCCTTGCTGCATATTCTCAGACCTGTTCATGTTTTGCTTTAAGCTTTTCCCGATCAGGGTGCCATGCCGGGGCTACATGTCAAGAGTGGGTCTCAAATAGTTTATACATAAGACTCGATGGTCAAGTTTCTGATGGTTTCACGGATTTAGGCCTGTTTGGACAGCTCGTCTTCCTAGGGTTTCATAACGTCAAGAAACTGTCGTACTACACTCTTATCCTCACCTGCCAGATGATCCAAAACAGATAACGGGACAATATGTCAATTTCGCGAGTCGCTACCATTTTTTAGTACGGGAATTTTTTACCTTAGGTAGAGTATACGTCAAAATGCGACGTTCTATTAGGAGAACAGTTATAAACGGCACATCCTTTTTCTAGTTTTGAAGCGAACGTCGTGCTTATAAACCGCGAAAAGCTTTATTATGGCAAATCACAGAAGCATTCAGATCAGGTCGAAGTCATACCGTGGTCTGTACATAATTTATAATAAACGTACACTCTTAAGATTACATACTCCATGACACGAGGTTGTCCATATGTTGTTTTAGATTCAGCTACTCGGAACAAAAGATCCAAGTAGTACAGGCTATAGTGAGACTGTATTAGATTTAACATAAAATATAGACACAACAATGAAAATATAGGGCAAGGACTGCACACTTGCTGATAACCTCGGGATCTCGAAAGGCTTTGGTGCTGAGGACTTCTCTAGTGGTCTCTGAAGCTGATATGTCCTGTTTGGGTTCCGTTTGGTCCTTAGTGTGATGGCCCTCTTTGATATCCACACCTGGGTCGTTTTTGTTTAGGGCTCTGTCCGTTCATCAGAGTTCCGCTATGGACATCGACCTCTCCGTTCATTCTCTTGAACGTTCCGATCTATTTTCTTTTCGAATATACGCACTTTATCTTTACTTTTGATTTCAGAAAAACATGTTATAATTACAGCAGCTCTTCTAATTTTGGTAATTATTTGATGGGTCCCCAGCAAGACGCCGTCATCTTGTGAAGAACTTCAGA